CGGGGCGCCTGGGTGGCGCAGTCGGTTAAGCGTCCGACTTCAGCCAGGTCACGATCTCGTGGTCCGTGAGTTCGAGCCCCGCGTCAGACTCTGGGCTGATGGCTCAGAGCCTGGAGCCTGTTTCCGATTCTGTGTCTCCCTCTCTCTCTGCCCCTCCCCCGTTCATGCTCTGTCTCTCTCTGTCCCAAAAATAAATAAATAAATAAATAAACGTTGAAAAAAAAATGAAATATCAAAATCTGCCCCACCAAAAAAAGTTTCGGCCTCTTCCTGTTTAGGCCCAAAGGACACATGCTTAACTGACCTCCTAAGTTCTCAAACACTAGACATGAAGCTTAAACAGTGTGTTCCACAGGGACCGAAGCCTGGGCTTAAGCACCTCAAGTTCTATGACACTCATTATCATCAAGCATTCACTGAGTGTTAAACTTGGGAATCTTTCTCTCACCTTGCCTGCTCAAGCCTTTCCCAATATCTAATAAAAACCTGACTTTATTCGGATAAAAAACAATCATCTCAATTTCTACTGCTTCAGCATTAAGGTCCTCAGAGAGCAAGGGCACTGAACCTCAGGTGGAAGTGATAATGTTAAATTGTGCAATGGAATCAAAATCCCTAGCCCACTACTGTTACAGGGTACCTCATCAACATCCGGTTGCTACCGTTACTTACAATAGACCCCATAGTCCTCTTTTGCCTAAAACAAGATCTATCTTTACTACCAAAACAACGGGCCTACCAAGATTTGCAATGGAATCTTCAACATTAAATGGCTATGCGAAATCATTTTATAATGGATTTTCTATGGAGGATTATTTTTGTTCAAGACGAGTAAGAAAAACCACATGTTTACAACTCTTACGAGTTAAGTGCTTCAGAAGAGAACACCTGTCAAGGCAGGTCACGCGAGAGGGCTTGTAAATCAGGCATTGTTTCTTACGCTGGGAGCAAGGCTTCCTCCTTAGGTGATCAGAAGGCAGAAGAGGCCATCTTTTCTCAGAGGCCACTGTATTTCTGAACAGAATTTCAACTTGATCTTTAAAGCAATCAAAATAAAGAAAAAAGGGGGAGAATAATATATGCCTTTTTTTTCTTCAGCAGAAAGGGAGAGAATATAACTAGTTAAACAGAAATGATTTTAGATACATTGCTACTTGTTTTCCACAAAATTTGTGCCTTGCTGAGTAAAAGAAAACATAGAGCCTGCAATAAAAATGATCTTTTTTGCACAAATATCCAGAAAGACTGTGTCAAGGGTGAGTGCTAAACAAAGAAATCACAAATGTA